CTCTCTCTCTCTCTCTCTCTCTCTATATATATATATATATATGTAGTAACATACACTTAAGAAATTAAGACTGTACAAAAAGGTGGAAAGTGAAAAGCAAAAGCCCACACATCCCAACCACTTCATCAATATTTTGTACCATTTCAGAAACTTCCCACACATACAAATACATTTTTATTTATTTATATCTACCTTTTTTTGACTCAAAGGAGCTCTGGTGGCACAGTGCCTAAGGCATTTGACTGCTAACCATAAAGTTGGCGGTTCAAACCCACCAGACTGAGCCATCTACTTCTGTAAAGATTTACCACTTTGGAAACCCAATGAAGGTCACTATGAGTTGGAATCGACTTGATGGGCAGTAGGTTTGGTTTAGTTTTTTTCTTTTTTTTAAACTCAAAGAGAGTCATACATTCCATTCCATGCTGCAACTTGCCTTTTTCACTTAACCCTGTGGCTTGGCCATCTTTCCACATCACATATGTGGGTCTACTTGTTCTTTATAATGGCATCATAGTATGTGGATGAATTACAATTCCTTTCATAAGTCTCAGTTCATCTTTGAAACTACACTACTGTCTCCATCAAATATTCAGTGAAGTTACCTGAGAAGTTACTTCTCTCTCTGCAAACCCGTCCGTTCTTGACTGTCTCGCTACTCTTCTTATCCTGACCTTGCTAACTGGATATGGATGACTGATCCTTCTTTCCCACAGTCCCAACCTCTGATTGCTTCCTGCCCTAGTATGTTCATCATGGGGTAACAGAGTTCTCTAGCACACCCACAGCTTCCCCTACTCCTTCCTCCAGACCAAAGAAAGACCTGCAAACACTGCTTTTTCTCCATGAGGTGAACTCCTACATATGATATTTCTATAATCAAGTTCTGTTCTAGGCTTACTTTTGAAAGTAAAATAAATCTCTTTTCAAAGCAAGTAATCTTCCCCCTGGGTTTCTGTACTTCAGTAAATGACATACTGGTAAAACACACATATATACACACACAGACACACAGTGCTGCCCTCTTGGGGAAGGCTGTATGTACATGTATCCTGTGCCCATGCAGAGAGGCCAAGGTAGAGCGACTGAGCCAGGGCCCAAAGCCAGCAGGCCTGGGTTCCGCCCCAGCTTTGACCTGGGTAAAGCAATTTCAATTTTCTGTTTCTTAGAACTGTGGGAAGAACTAAATGAGATAATGAACAACAGAGCTTTAAAATAAGAACACACAACATACATGGAGTGTCATTCCTCTTTTCCTCTAGATCAGGGTTTGAAAATCAAATGCTGATCAGGGTTGGGCAGGATACATAAATGAGTGAAGGGTATGTTTGGGAGTGGGGAGGACTGTGGACACTGCAGCATACAGGCTCTGTCTCAAGGGCAGCCAGTTGGTACTTTGCGCAAATGCAGTCCCACTACTGCCAGGTCCTCTAGGTCTTCAAGAAAAGCTGGAAATCTTAATTTTAACATAAAATCACCAACATTTTACATTGAAAAAAAAAAAAAAAAAAACCTCCCTGTCATCAAGTTGATCCCAACTCATTGCAACCCCTCCTTGGGTTTCTGAGGTGGTATCTCTATGGAAGTAAATTGCCCAACCTTCCTTCCGAGGAGTGGCTAGTGGATTTGAACTGCTAGCCTTCTGGTTAGTAGTCAAATGCCTTAGGCACTATGCCACCAGAGAATTTCAAATTAACAAACATAGTTCAGTGTGATCTGCATAAGGCCACTGACCTACAAGTCAACAAGAGGTCTGTCTTATCCCGATTATCATTTCTTTAGTGGCAAGCAGTGTTCCATAGCTTTTAAATCCCACTCAGAGATCCTTGCAACTGCAATCTTAATAAAAAAGCTTATCATCAATAGACTGAATTAGGATTTTACAGTTTTGTTTAAAACAGGGCAACAAAACAAGTTCCTATCTAGTGGGTTACCACTCATAGTGACCCTTTGTCCCACAGGATTTTCATGGCTGTGACCTTTTGGAAGCAGAAATGACTCCATAGAGATGAGAAAGCCCTTGAGTTGACCAAGAGAAGTCAAAGAAAACTTAGTCTTTTCTCCCCACCCCTTCAAAGTTCGGATTCTGTACCTTTCCCTCAGCTCCTGGGTTTTCTTTGTGGTCTTGGATGCTGCTGCTTCTTTTTTTTTTTTTTTTCTTTAAAAAAATGCTAAAAATTTATATGATATTTCATAAAAATATGGAATGCTTCACGAATTTGCGTGTCATCCTTGCGCAGGAGCCATGCTAATCTTCTCTGTATCGTTCCGATTTTAGTATATGTGCTGCCGAAGCGAGCACTTGGATGCTTCTTGAGAAAGCCTATTATAAAGAGAAAGAAGGAGCAAGACTTGCTTTCTCTCCTGGTCTTACAGGTGTGCCAGGCTATACCCTCAATATAACCAGACCGTGTGCCCTCAGAAAGCGGGGACCATACTATTTGTTGAGCATCCATGTTCCAAGTCCATTTGACTGTCATAAAGCCCTGCCACTTGATAAGATAAGCACTAGCCCATTGCTTCATTTATCTTTGCATTGTGGAGCACGAACATGTCAGGTGGCTCAGAGGTACAGGCCAAGGCAGCCCCTACCCCCACGCTTCCTTCAGAAGGGAACTCTACAGGGCAGGAGCCAAGGTCAGGCTTCCCTCAGCCATTCACAGGTAAAATTCCATTTTGGTTTGTATTTCTTGTTAATCCCATTACTATTATAGAAGCAAGGCTGTCTTTTGGTAGCAGCTGACAGAAGCACAACTAGAACTAGCTGAAGTGAA